GCTTTGTTGTCTCCCCTGACCAGATCTCCGTGGACCCCTTGAAGGTGAGCGCCTTCATCGATTGGCCGGTTCCTAAGGATAGGAGGCAGCTCCAGAGGTTCTTGGGATTTGCCAATTTTTACCGCCGGTTCATTAGGAACTTTAGTCAGGTGGCAGCGCCCCTTCATGCCCTCACATCATCCAAGGTCAGGTTTTGCTGGTCCGATCAGGCGGATCGAGCTTTTCAGAGGCTCAAGGCTGCCTTCACCTCAGCCCCAGTTCTGGTGTCCCCCGACCCCAAGAGGCAGTTTATTGTCGAGGTGGATGCTTCCGTTACCGGGGTCGGGGCGGTGCTCAGTCAGGAGGCTGAGGATGGAAGAATCCACCCTTGTGCTTTCTTTTCCAAGAAACTGTCAGCAGCTGAGCAGAACTATGATGTCGGGGATAGAGAGCTGCTGGCAGTCAAACTGGCTTTGGAGGAATGGAGACACTGGCTGGAGGGTTCAGGTATTCCGTTTCTGGTCTGGACAGACCACAAGAATCTGGAGTACCTCAAGTCAGCCAAGAGACTTAATCCCAGACAGGCTAGGTGGGCACTGTTTTTTGGCAGATTCAACTTCTCTTTGTCTTACAGACCCAGGTCCAAGAATACCAAACCCGATGCTTTGTCCAGGGTGTTTGAGGCGGAGGAGGAGAGTCCCAGTGGAGCTGAGGAGTATGTCTTGCCTGAATCTGTGAGGTGTGCTGTAACTATGGTTAACATAGAGGAGGAGGTTAGACAGGCCCTTCTTGACCAAACTCCTCCCAGTGGTTGTCCGTCTGATCGTCTGTTTGTTCCTAATGCTCTGAGAGGGAAGGTCCTTGAGTTTTTGTCATTGTTCTCATCTGTTCTGTCATCCTGGTATAACCAAGACTATTTACATTGTTCGTTCTCAGTTCTGGTGGCATTCTCTGTCTGCTGACATGCGGGAGTTCGTGGCAGCCTGCTTACAGTGTAACCAATCCAAAGCATCCAAAAGACCACCTTCTGGTCTCCTCCGGCCACTACCCATCCCTTCCCGTCCTTGGTCGCACATTGCCATGGACTTTGTTACTGGGTTACCTTGTTCTGATGGTAATACTGTCATCCTTACAATCATTGACAAGTTCTCTAAGATGTTGCATTTGGTCCCTCTACCCAAACTCCCCTCAGCTAAGGAAATGGGGGAGGTCCTCACCCGTGAGGTTTTTCGGCTCCATGGTCTCCCCACTGACATTGTTTCTGACAGGGGTCCCCAGTTTGTCTCTCGGTTCTGGAGGGAGTTCTGTTCATTGTTGGGGGTCTCTGTCAGTCTCTCATCCGGTTTTCACCCCCAAACAGATGGCCAGACAGAGAGGGCCAACCAGGAGATCGAGACAAAGATCTGCATTCTCTGTGAGGCTGATCCCACTAAGTGGGCCAGCCAACTCCCTTGGGTAGAGCATGCTATAAACTCTGCTCTCTCTAGCACCACTGGACTCTCTCCGTTCTATGTTGTTTTTGGTTTTCAGCCACCGGTGTTCACCATACAGGAAAAAGAGTCTAAGGTTCCTTCTGCACACCTTTCTGCCCTTAGCTGCCAACGGGCTTGGAGAAGGGCCCGGAGAACAATTTCTCAGGCCCTGGTTGGTCAAGCTAGGGCTGCCAACCGCCGGAGGGTTCCGGCACCCACTTACAGGGTGGGTCAGAGAGTTTGGCTCTCAACTAGGGACCTGCCTCTCAAGGTCGACAGCAAGAAGCTGGCTCCCCGCTTTATTGGGCCATTCCCTATTGTTAAGGTGGTGAACCCGTCCGCCTCCAGCTTCCTCGTACCTTAAAGATTCACCCCACTTTCCATGTATCCCGGGTCAAACCTGTTAGGTCCTCTGGTTTTGTGCCCACACCTGGGTCACCTTCACCTGCCCGGTTCATTGATGGAGACCCGGTCTACACGGTCCGCCGCCTTCTCAGGTCTAGGCGGAGAGGCCCCAGTATTTAGTAGACTGGGAGGGGTATGGACCTGAGGAGAGGTCCTGGGTCCCGGCCCGGTTCATCTTGGATAAAGACCTCATTAGGGCTTTCCACAGGGATCACCCAGATCAACCCATTGGGGCGTCTGGAATCTGCCCTTGAGGGGGGGTTCTGTCATGATCCTGGCACTGGTGGCTGGCCTGATTGCTCATTCCACTCACCTGTTTAACTCTGTCTGTTTTTCTCATTACTGCTTATCTGATCCACCTGTTTTCAGCTCCTATATATGCTGTGTGTTTTCCAGCTACCAGTGCCAGAATATTCAAGCTGTTTTGTGTAACTCTAGTCTTCTGTTTGTTTTTCTGATTATCTAAATTGTGACCTGTTTCTGTCCTGTGGATCCTGAGTTTTGCTTTGCCCTAGTCTGCTCTTTAATCTGCTCTGTTCTGGACTGATTCCTGGATTCACCTGGCTCACCAAACTTGGGCTGTTTTTCTGACATTGGCTTGGATTCCCCTTCTGTACCTCATCGGCTTTCTGATCCTCTGGTCTGTGAACTTGGTTCTGGTTCGACTTCGGCTTTGGACATTCCCTTCAGGACTCTGTTGCCCCTCGGCCTCGGCTGGCTTCAGCTCCGCTCAGAAACAGGTCAGTGACTATTTTCTCTTATTTGTTATCTACCCTTATTAGTCACTGACCTGAGTTTCTGTTCCCACATAGGATCCGGTTTATCCGCCCCAGCTGACAAGCAGCCATACTGAGAGTTAAATAAAGTCTAGTTTTGAACTATCCAGATCTGTCTGTTTTTGAACATTGGGTCCAAGGTTTTGAACGCATTACAGAAACTGGATTAAAGCAGGACATGTGCGTGCATACAAGAGATTTATTTACTGTTCTTTTGCACTGTTACTGTTACAAATGCTATATCTTACATAATTGGTAATAATAATTTTTCTGCTGCCATTACCATCTGCCTTTTTGCACTAGCATAAGTACTGCATATTTTATATTATTGTACATTTTATATTTTATTGTGAAATTGAATGTTTAAATTTTAGTATTAGGAACTGATCTTATCTGTTGTGCCTGTGCACTTTATCGGTTTCACTGTTGGTGAATGAGAAACGAACATCCTCTCGAGTCCTAGTATGTCTGGTAAATCTGAAGCATTGACATTAAAGCTGACTTTGACTTTGAAAAGTTATAGGCCTACTGCATATTTAGAAAATTTAGATCGGTATTTCGCACGATCGGGAGATGGGGACCCCTCAAAATATTGATAGGTATATATATATATATATATATATATATATATATATATATAAAAATTTATTTATTTTTTCCCCAAAATTCCCGAAGATTGCTCGGAGGAGAGCTGCGTCGGGGCCTAGACAGCTTGTACTCCTGCGGGTGTGAGCAGCTGAGATGATAAAAAAAAAAAGTTGGTTGTGTTATCAGACTTCGTTTTCACTGGTTCCCTACACATTTTACAGATGACTGTGGTCTGTTTCTTGT